GATATAAAAACAACAAAGACATGATATAAAAATAAAAACATATAAAAACAATGATAAAAACAATGATTGATAAATTGATTAATAAACATGATATAACAACAAAAACATTATATAAAAACAACAAAAACATGATATAAAAGCAGCATTGATAAAAAACAATGACTGATAAAGTGATTAAACTTATTCTAATATCTCCCTGTACACCACATGAAGAGTGAGAACACTTTCAGAGTGCTTAACTAATTTCCCTTGTGATGAAGTATTTAGAACTTTAACTTTAACGTCACATGCTCTTCGAACTCGAGAGAAAGCAACATAGAACTGGCCATGTCCGAAAATGGGTTCAGGTAGGAATATGCCTACTCTGTCTAGAGTTTGTCCTTGTGCTTTATTAATAGTCATTGCAGATGCTGGCATCACCGGAAACTGTCATCAAATCAATTTATATGGGAGGCCAGTATCAGACGGGACAAATCAACTCTTGGAATCAGAACACCCTGTCCTTCCGCAGATCCTGTTAATACTTCAGCTTCGATTATGTTAGGTCGCGACTTGTGGTAATAAATCTGGTGCCATTGCAATGACCTCATTTACATTCTGGCGTTGCATACCATTGGCACCAGCGAGAGCTTTATATGTATTGCACATGTGAGAGTCGTTTATTTTTAAATTGCCAGTGCACATCAATTGCCAGTGAGTGTCTTATGTACCAGCCGGCCAGGCGGTCTGTTGGCCAGACGATTGGACGGACAGTCGGTCACTTGGCCTTTTATATAGAGAGCCCAGTAGCCCTGCACACAAGTCCACGTGCGAGTAGCCCACGGCTGCTTTCCTCAACTGGCCACCAGCCCACGGCTGCTGGTAGCTCTCTGCTGCTCGTAGCTCACTGCCCCGCCCTCCCGTAGCTCCCCACCACTTGGCGTAATGGATAATTAGCATATTCCTCTCTTATTACATAGGACGATGGAACGATACACTTTGCTAGCACCTCGTTAACACTGCTTCCCTGGGATCTGGAGATATTGTGGAGATGAGCAGGGAGAAGGCCAGGGCCAGAGAGGATAGAGAGAGTGTCCAGATAAAAACCAGAGACCACTGTGCAAAGACAGTTGTGTAGCTTATCGAGACGTGCACGAGTCACCAAAATATTTATGGAGGTTCCCTCAGGACGGTGCGATTTGCATCTTAATCTGTTGATATTCTTAAATGTATGTAGTTGCACAGTGTTCAGGTTAACAGCACAGAAGGTGTTGGTTTGAGGGAGAACCGCAGGTTCGGCGTGGCTGCCTGGTGGCCTGCAAACGCCATGTCACCACCCACGGCGGCCACGGCTCGGCTGCTCCCATAAGGATCATATCTAAGGGTCATTTCATTCCTGCAGCAGAGAGCGTGGCGTCCTGACACGGGATTGAGGCAAAATCATCCCAGAATCACTAACTGCTCCCTTCCTCTTCCTGCTCACAGGTGGCTCCTCCGTTTTCTGACTAACCTTTCAGAAACGGCGACTCTTTGCTCTGCAGGTTCCGCAGGTGCTGCGTCAGGGAACCCAGGGACCTCAGATCCGATCGTCCCTGATAACAGAGCTCTTGCTCCCATAAATGGCACGAGAGCTTGCGCTCAGGTGAATCACCCATCAGCCTTCGTGGTGACGCATTTGTTGGGGAAGAACAAGCTTAGACACCGTGGCAATGACTAGTTTTAAGACGTTAAATAAATACCCAAACGCAGCCATGGCTGGCAGTGTTTTCCTGCACGCGGCTGTGCCATAGAAGACACTGACATGAACCCGACATCCGAGGGCCCTCAGAGGTCCCTCTGCCCAGCTCTGAGCCCGGGAACCTCACGGGTGCTCACAGAGGACCTACTGTGTGCCTGGCACGAATCGAGGCTGCCTCTGTGAACAGCTGGACTGGTCGGAGCTGAAATACTTCTCTTCCCATCCCTCCTCTATGCTGACCGGTTGTTCTTCACCCGTTAGTGTGTGCATCACTCCTGGCTGGTCCTCCCCCGTGTCACCGACATTCTCTCTATGATCCTTGAAAGTCTCACGGAGGCCCCTGAGCCCATGAGGAGCTGTGAGCAGCTTACGCCACGGCTTTGAACTGGGTATCCAGGCGTTTGCTTGCTGCCGTTCCAGTGAGTCTTTTTCTGGAGATTCCTCCTGCTCCTTCGTCTGTGACGTGTTCATTTGTCTCTGCCTCCTCCCCCCTACCTCCCCCTGCCTCGCCCCGCGTGTGCCTCCTCCTTTACTCTCTCGTTGTTGAATTCCATGCAGCAGCGTTCCGGCGGCTCTGAGTGATGGTTGTTCTGTGTTGCAGTTGTGATTTTGAGGTGGCTGTGGGCGGCGGGGAGTACCGGCGTTCACCTGCACCCCCAGCTTGGTTCTCCTGTATATTGTTTAATTTTTTTAAAGAATAAATTTTTATTGATCTCAGAACGGGAGGGAGAGGGAGAGAGGGATAGAAACAGCCTATATAACAAAAGGGCATTATGCAAATTGACCCTCACGATGGAACGGCCAGTCGCTATGACACACACTGACCACCAGGGGGCAGACGCTTAACACAGGAGCTGCCCCCTGGTGGACAGTGAGCTTCCACAGGGGGAGCACCGCTCAGCCAGAAGCCGGCTCATGGCTGGCCAGCGCAGTGGCGGTGGCAGGAGCCTCTCCCACCTCTGCAGCAGCGCTAAGGATGTCCGACTCATGGCTTAGGCCCGCTCCCCTAAGCCGGCAGTCAGATATCCCCTGAGGGGTCCTGGACTGTGAGAGGGCGCAGGCTGGGTTGAGGGACCACCCGTCCAGTGCGTGCACTGGGCCTCTAGTCAATGATGAGAATCATGGATCGGATGCCTCCTGCACGCCCCACACTGGGGATGGAGCCCACAACCTGGGCCTGTGCCCTGACTGGGAATTGAACCCTGACCTCCTGGTTCATAGGTCGACGCTCACCACTGAGCCACACCAGCCGGCTCTCCTGTGTATTTTTTTTTAATATATTTCTTTATTGATTTCAGAGAGGAAGCGAGAAGAGAGATAGAAACATCAATGATGAATCATTGATTGGCTGCCTCCTGCACACCCCACACTGGGGATGGAGCCCGCAACCCAGGCATGTGCCCTTGGCTGGAATCGAACCTGGGACCCTTCAGTCCGCAGGCCGGTGCTCTATCCACTGAGCCACACCGGCCGGCTCTCCTGTGTATTTTAATAGAAACATGGACTGTTTACTTTCCGCTGTTTTGTTGCCTGTTTTGGTCCCAGCGCGTCCTTCTCCGCCGTGCACCCGTCCCATTTTAAAGTTAACCTCCGGGCCTGTGAAGTGAGGGTTACCAGCCCCAGTTCTTATTCTGATAATGATGCTCTTTTTGCATTGAAATTGGTTGTTGAACCTGTGTCTTCTCTGGTTTCCCATTAATTGGTGTTTCTTCTCAAGGAAAAAGCAGACTTTTTCAGGAATCGCAGGGTGCTCACGAGCCGGTCAGAGGCTGGGTCGTCAGCGTCCCCAGGGACAGACGCCTGCCCTGCGTCCCTGATCGCCGACAGCTTCCCTGGGGCCGCGGAGGCCGGTGGAGGGGCAGCCCCTGCCGGGAGCACGGCTGGGAGGTGTGTTCAGAGCAGGAGCAGGGACGGGGACGGCCGACGTCGCTGTTCACACGGCTCAGAAACCTCCGACACTGAGAACATCGCAGGCGCCTTTTACAGGAGAGAGGTTCTGGGTGTTTTATAAATTCACAGGTGAAGACGGCGTGTACAGAGTTTCCTAAAGTCGCCGATGTGTGAACATAACGCCTCTTGGGTTTAAACAACTTGGGGCTGAAACCGACATGGGCCGTTCCCCGTCCCTGCCCGTGACCGAGCGGGCAGGCCGGCCGGGCGTGCGGACGCCCCGGGACGCTCACTCTGAGCGTAAACAGGAAGACAGGGCTCCGCGGCCCCGCGCCCACCAGATGGCCAGCTCCTCCCGGGCCAGCGCTGGGGATCAGCACTTTAAAAAAATAGATGTTTATCTGAAATAAGCCCGAGCCCTCCCAACTCATCTTCATTTTTACTCACAGTTGCACGGCCTGGGTGCTCGTTCAGCTTCCAGAGCAACAAACAAGCAGTTGTTTTCTCCGGTGACTTACGGCCTGGCAGCGGCCCACGCTCCCGCTGGCCAAGCGCGTTACTGACACGCAGCGACAGCGCCGTTTTGTTCCGCTCAGATAAGGGAAACATATCTCAGCTTTAAGGGAACCTTGGCCTCATCTCGCAAAACAAGGAAATAAATAACGAGTCCCTGTGAGAAACCGTCAAACAAAAACACGGAGCTGACGGCGTCCGGCCGCAGCCGAGCTGTCCCCCCGCTGCTCGGAGCTGGGCAGGGCTGCTCCCCTCGGGGCGTTTCGCCAAGTGATTCCCCGAGAAAAACACGGAGACGCTGAAGGCGCTGCCCGAGGAGCGGTAGCCGGTCCCGCGGCGCCTGTGGGCCCGGACCCGGGACGGCTGCTTCCAGGCCAGCTCCGCACAGTGACAGCGGAGCAGGGCCACCTCCGGGGTCGCACGGATTTCCCCAAAGGCGGCCCGGGTGCGGAGTCTGACGCGGGGAGCGTCCATGGCGAGTGGGCACTGAGCACAAGCTGGGGGGCAGCGTCCATGGCGAGTGGGCACTGAGCACAAGCTGGGGGGCAGCGTCCATGGCGAGTGGGCACTGAGCACAAGTTGGGGGGCAGCGTGGTTTAAGGCAGGAAGCACAGGTCCTGGTGGCCACGCCACGGCACTGCTGGCTGCTGTGACACGGGGCCTCCGTGGCTCCCTCCAGGGGCGGCGCCCACAGGGACGGAGGGGCCAGGTGGTGCGCCGCCAGGTTTTAAACACACGTTTGAAATGCTTGGCAGCAAAGCAGGCAGGATGGCATTCAGCGAGTTGTCTTTATATCCACTGAGCCGGGCACCGCACAACCACCATGACAAAGGAGGCGGTGGAGGGGGCAGGGAGGGGCAGGGCTCTGCTGGTGCCCGGCTCTACCTGCCCAGACCCCGCCTGGCCTCCCAGCCCCACAGGGCGCGGACGGAGAAAGGCCACGTCGCTGAGCCCAGGCCACGGAATGGAGAGGCCCGAGGACATGGTTCAGCTCCAGAGATGAGCGTCATTCCATCGAGAGGTGAGGAAGAACGAAGCACACAGTGGGGCCCAGTAGGGAAAAGGCCAAGTTCTGCCTAAACGTGAAAGAGCGAAGTGCTGCCGGCTGCACGAGAGCAGGAGCCGATCCGTGTCCGTCGACACCGCACGGTGAGCGGAGGGACGGAGGGACGGAGGGACGGAGGGGCGGAGGGACGGAGGGACGGGGGGACGGAGGACTTCACAGCTGGAGGAACTCACTGGACCGTGATGTACAGTGAAATCCAGCTCTGAGCGTCTACATAAACAAACCCCTCTGGGCCTGCAGCGTGAAGGCCTGGCTCCCAGCCACAGGCCTCCTCAGGAAGAGACGTGGAGCCGTGTCCACAGCCAGGAAAGTGGGGGTTGGGGGGAGAGTGCGTGGTGAGCCGGAGCCCCAGGGCCGAGGGTCCATGCTGAGCCTTCACACCCCCTCGGCCGCAGACGGCCGGAGAGGAAAGGACACGGAACGAGGGCGCCCGCGGTTACCCCGAGGGGACCCCGTCTCCTTCCACGCAGATCAGCTGCTCTGTGCACAGGTGCGGCCTCACCCCACCTCAGAGCTGCGGACAGGGATCGGGAGAGCAGATCAGAGGAGATGGTGGAGAAAAGGCTCCACACATCCTCACCCGCCAATCCTGCTCCCCTGGCAGAGCTGCCATCACTCTGGGGTCTGTGTAGGTGGTAACCAGCCGGCAGCATCTCCCAGACGCAAACCTCCAGGTCCTGTAACAGCAGGAACGTGTCCCCCACCCACCGTTCTCCCGACGCTGCTTCTGACTAACGGGTAGCTTGTCGATGAGCAGCATGTTTGCATGAGAATCCTAGGAGCTAACAGACTCCGACCTTCGTCGCCCGGCTCTGGGAGATTTGCTGACCTTCCCTGTAGGACCGGGATGACCAAGACCAGACCATCGCTTGAACCAGTTCTGAGTCCTTGTCGGGGTGGACTGTGCTGGTCTGCACGTAGAGAACTTCCCAACCCTCCCGGCTCTCTGTTCTGCTCTCCCTCTCCCTCCGTGTAGAAACCTCTGCCTGCACTGAGCTGAGATGTGGGGATGGCCTTGTGACAAGAGTCCCCCCTCTCCTCAGGTGACCGACACCTCAATCAACCTCTTTCCTTCTTCACCAGCTCCTGTCTCACGAGTTTGGTTTTCGTGGCAGCAGGCAGCCGAACCTTGGTTCCGGTTCCAGTCCCACCCAGACTCGGGAATCGGCACCGCTGGGGGCGGGCCCAGCAGCCAGCCAGGTCACTCTGATGCCTACTCCAGTCTGAGAACCACCCTCTTCCTGGACAGAAGTCCAGACATGCCCTGTATGGAGGCGAGGAAGAATGAGCGGCAGAGGTCAGTGTGCCTGGGGGAACGAGGTCCTATTAGGTGGTTAAGTCTTCACAAGGCACAGAGCTCAGGTGACAGCCGGGAAGGGCGAGTCACCTGCTTAGGGCTACGCCGCCCGTGAGGAAGTTAAACTATTAGGAACTTAACACACATGCAGACCAGCTCCTGAGAATAAAAATGAAGTGTCTGTAATAACAAATATTAACGGGAAGCTATTCAAATTGCTAGAAGTTATTGAAGAACCTAAAGGGGAATTTATCTGGCAAAGGATCGCAGATTTCCTTTTCCAGCCCTAAATTGCGGTCAGTTAATTCAGTGAGTTCATAAATCGGTGGAACGTCAGTGACCCCGAAAACCCGTGTTTTGCGTGCTGGACCCACTGAGCGCACAGCTGGGCCCCGTCTTCTCTCTCCGCTGTTGATATTTTTATGGGCAAGAGGTCACAGTGGTAATTACAGAGGAGAAGAGTATGAACAAGTAAATATTTACTGATTTCAGGTTTTTATCTCCTGGGGATGCGATCCTAATAGGCTGCTCCCAGCACTCCCTCCACCAGGCGGCCTGCTGGCTGCCAAACGCTCTGTGCTCGCATTTTGGGCAATAATGTCCGTGTGAACCAAAGATAGGCGTCCCGTCCGGCCGCAGACTTGGGCTCCCACCAGCGAAGTCAATGCCGAGTAAATTTTGTGTAACAAGATGTTCAAATGGCACTTTGGGCTGAAACACGTCATGATCAAATTCCAAAGTTACTCGTTAGACAAGATGTCCCTCTCTGTGGCCAGGAAGCGGTGAGCTGGCTCTTTGGCAGCAGCTGGCGGGGCAGGGTCTGCGTGCTCCGTGTGCCCACCGAGAATGTTGCCTGAATGCGTGTTTTATGAACCAACGCCAAGGCAGACGGCAAAGAGGGCTGGTCCACGGGCGAGGGCCGGGGCGTGAGAGGGGGACGCAAACCGAGTCATTAACTGAGAGCTTCTACAACTGGGAGTGCAAACGATTATTTAAATGGAGATCAGCAGCGGCTCACGCTCACCTGTGTGTGTCATTAATGCAAACGCCGATGCGGCCGTCGGAACAGAGCGTCACAATAGTGATGTGCCCCTCAGAGGTGTCGGCTGGGCCATCCGTCACCAGAGGACACTTTTTCCACTGCTTTTCGGAGGAGTGGGAGGGAGGGAGCGAGAGAGGGGGAGAGGAGAGAAAGCAACATCCATGTGAGAGAGACGCATCAACTGGTTGCCTCCCACGGGCACCCTGACCAGGGCCGGGGATCGAACCCACAACCCAGGTGCATGCCCTTGACCTGGAATCATATCTATGAGCCTTCAGTGTGCGGGCCGCGCTCTCACCACTGAGCCACGGGCCAGGCCTATAAGAACATTTTGTTTCCCCGCGATGGGCTCTGGCGGCTCCTCCTGTTAAGAAAAAGCCGCACCCACATGTGGCTCCTGGACGCACCCCCGTTCCTCCTGCCGCGGGGCATTCTCAGGGAAAACACAGACGTTTCAGATGCGACACATGAAACGAATCAAAGCCCCCGTTCGACATCCTCATCCGACTCCTGCCGAGAATGACTGCAGAGCGTGTGGGCAGGCGAGCTTCCCTGGGGGCGGCGACAGCCTTGCTCCACCGAGGCCGGGCCCCAGACAGAACCTGGTGTGGAGGGAGATGTTCAGACTGGGAGAGACGCGCTGGTCACAGGAAAACCCCTCATGCCCCCCCCACCACCACCACACACACACCTCACTCACTCACTCAGAAAGCATCCATGTGAGCAAAACTGTGGCAAGCCCGGCCGGCGTGGCTCAGTGGTTGAGCGCTGACCCATGAACCAGGAGGTCACAGTTCGAGTCCCAGTCAGGGCATGTGCCCGGTTTGCGGGCTCCATCCCCAGTGTGGGGCGTGCAGGCAGCAGCTAATCCATGATTCTCTCTCATCATTGGTGTTTCTCTCTTTCTCCCTCTCCCTTTCTCTCTGAAATCAATAGAAATATATTTTAAAAATCTATACTAATAAAAGGGTAATATGCTAATTAGACCGGAAGTCTTCCGGACAAAGCCACAGTGGCATGGCCGAGGCAGAGGCGGTTAGGGGTGATCAGGCCGGCAGGGGAGAGCAGTTAGGGGGATCAGGCAGGCAGAGTGCTTAAGGGCAATCAGGAAGGCAGGCAGGTAAGTGGTTAGGAGTCAGCAGTCCTGGATTGCGAGAGGGATGTCTGACTGCTGGTTTAGGCCAGATACCTGTGGGCCTAAACCAGCAGTTGGACATCCCCCGAAGGGTCCCGGATTGGAGAAGGTGCAGGCCAGGCCGAGGGACCCCCTTCCCCATGCACAATTTCATGCACCAGGCCTCTAGTAAATAAAACTCAATACCTTCAGGATAAGGTCTTTTCACACTAAGATTTAAATCGCATCCTATAACTAAAGTCATCTATATAATAAAGAGGGAATATGCTAATTTGTCCATTACGGTGTCCCAGTCACGACCAGTCTGTGGGCAGGCCAGGAGCGGGGACTTCCGCCCCCAGCGCTAACGTCAAGCTGCCTCTGTGCTCCTGTGTGCGTCCCCGTTCAGCACTGGTATGATGCTGCTGGGGGGAGAGGGGGCTGGGCTTGACAGGGGACCTCAGGCTGCACCTCCCACCCCAGCGCCAGGCCGGGGGACCTGAGGCTGCGCCCCCACCCAGAGGGGCTTGACGGGGTGGGGCCGGCTGGGTCTGGGTCTCCTGCGTTTTCGAAGCGCATGAGGGTGGTGGGCAGGGACTTGACTCTGGGTCCCATGGTGTGGCGCGTCCCAGACTCTGACAGGAGGGAGATTTTATATACATTTTACTAATTTTCTTTCATCTCTGACACTTCTTTTATAGAGAAAGGGCAAGTGGCAACATTAAAATATTTCTTCTCATTGATCCTCTTTTAATGTGCACGAATTCCGTGCACTGGGCCACTAATGTAAGTATAAAGCAGCATGAGAAACACATGCAAGTACAAAAGGGAAGAATGAAAATGAACAACGAAGCTGCCCAATTCCTCCATGGGCATTGGCCCTTGGACCCAGGCCCCCCGTGATGACGGCAGGCACCCCGCAGGGAGGACACAGCGGGAGGGCACGGGCCGAGGGGAAGGGCATCCGTCCACGTGCAGTTTGGAGAAGATCAAAGACTCCCTCTCCCTGCGGAGGCCCAGCTCGCGGCCTGGCTGCAACGCCATCTCGCTGCCCCGCGTCCAGAGAGAAAACAGGCCTCTGTTTGCACAACTGCCTCCATCACTAGGGACGCTCCACAGACCCAGGTTACAACCGTCTCAAAATAGCCACTTACGGAATCACAGTCTTAACTGGTTCAATCTGTTTGAACAATGAGTCGTTGAACGTCATGATCACTTAAAAATAACACAATTTTCCAAAAAGAAGTGCAATCAGCCCCCGTCCTGTCCTCAGTCTCCCTCCTCCGGCCGTTTGGTGTCTGACCTTCAGGAAGCGACGACGAAGATCGATTCCTTGGTCTGTCCCTTCGCTCAGGGCCTCGGAAGGGGGCGTGTCCTGCTCACCCATGGACGCAATATTGGAAACATCTAAACGGGCCTCTGTAGCTGCAGGTCGTCCCGGGATGGACACCGTCAGTGTCACCCTGAGCTCCGAGCCAGGAAAAGGCCAGGGAGGGCATCGTGTCTGTCGAGTTCACGGATGGATCCCAGCTGTGGCCGTCCCTGCTCCAAAAGTGAACCCTCCCTCCCCCCCCCCAAGTGGGGCTCATGTCCTGGATCAGGAAGCGTCGACATTGCCTCTCATCTGGAGTTTGGGGGGCGACACACTCTCCTAAGCAAAGCCAGGCCTCGCCGGCAACAGCTCGCTCCCCATCCCTCCACACCTTCCCTCACTCAGCCTCGAGGGAGGGAGGAGGTGGTGCTGTCGCTGAGCCTAACTCGCTGGTGGAAGTGGAGGCCATTAGCTCACCGAGGTGCCAGGTGTGGGGCCAGGATCACTGACCGGCGTGTCCACGGCTCCTGGTGTAAGGGCCGAGACAGCACCAAACCCAGCTCTTCTCTGTCAGAGCCCAGAGCGTGTCCCCTACACGCAGGGGCGGGCGCCGCGTGCAGTGCGAGCTCATCACGATGAACCCTGGTGACCACAGAAACCATCTTCAACATCCAACTTCTCAGCACACGCCTCACCCTGGGTAAACATCATCGCTCGTTCAAATTCATGCAGGTGCAACATCCCCGACATAGGAGTTAAAATCACACACACACGTACACACACACGTGCACGTGTGTGCATGTGTGTGCTCACATGTGTGTGCATGCACATGCACGCTGGGCGAGGCTCTGGCTGCAGCGGGAGACACACTGGCTCTGCCTTCTCGGTGCCTGGCCCCCTGGACCCCGGACCCGGGGAGGCTGCAGAGAGAGAGCCCTGAGAGCGGCAGCTGCTCCTCTGGGCTCGGCTGTGGGGACCCAACCAGCCGCTGAGGCTGAGAGGCTGGAACCGTGTCAAACTTGAAGTGAAACAAATGCTTTTAGGAGAGCCTGGGAGTGAGACTGAGCCACCGAGTGAGCGCGCACCCTCCCACCTCCCCCCCAGGCCGTCCCCCCCCCAGGCCGTCCCCCCCCCCAGGCCGTCCCCCCCCCAGGCCGTCTCCACCAGTCAGGGCAGCGCGGAGAGGCAGGGTGCTGCGGCGGGGTGCGGGCGGACAGCCTGGCTGGGCTCCCTCTTTAAAACGTTCACGCCCGCCCAGCTGGTGTGGCTCAGTGTGGAGCACCGACCTCTGGGCCAGGTCCCAGTTCGATGCCCGGTCAGGGCACCTGAGGACCAGGGATGCAGAGCCCTGAGGGCATGTGCGCACTCTGCCCGCCGTCAGGCCATGTGCGTGAGCAGGAAGCCTGTGTGCGGGGAGACGGGCCTGCGGGCAGCGGGGTCCCTCGGAGCAGAGGGAGTGCTTGCGGCTGGAACTCCAGGTCTTGCTCGTGGAGCGAATGCAAATGAGCCAAAGGTCCGGGAGATTGGCTCCCCTCGCCAGGGGCATTCTCTCGCTCTCGTGCACATGCCCCTCGGAGCTCGCCAATAGCTTCCCTGCACGGCCGCTGGCATGCCAGTCACTTGTCTCAACAAGTCTTGTACGAGAACCACCACCTTACGAACGTTGGTCTAAAAATAACCCTCCGGAGGCCAGCTCCCATCCCAGCCGGTCCCCGCTCTGTGCTCCCTCCGGTGCCACCACGGGCAGGACCCAACCCACTGTCATCCATTTCCCAGAGACCCGGGCAGTCAGCCGAGCCCAGAGCCCAGCCCGTGGACAGCACAGCGTCACCCGCAGGAGGGACAGGGAGGCGCACTTACAGCTACTGCTCGGCAGCCCCCGGTGCACTCCCTGGAGGAGGATACACAGCTGAGCATCATGGGCCGAAACGCTCGTCACAACACCATTGCAGGTGACACTGCAGGAGGACACCTGCTGCTGATGCGCGTGTAGCACGTGGCCTGTGTTACCGAGCTGGGCAGACACGGTCAGCGCGGCACCGTCCCCAGCCAGGCCTGAGGGACAGTCGCCGTGGGAGACACCCGTCCCACCCAGGCCTGAGGGACCGTTTCTAAGCAGCCCGTGGCCTCCCAGGGTGTAGACCCCACAGCACATGGCTGCATCGCGGTCATAACCAGGGACAAATTAGTTTCTAGCCCGATTTGCATGGAAAAAATAGCCCATGGACGGCTTTCAAGTGTAAAAATAAACAAACTTTCTATGACGGCCTGGCGGTGAGAGCTGGCCGAGTGGCCTCCCCGGGGAGGTGAGGGCCCAGCCACCGGCCATGGGCCTTCCTCACTCCTGGGCCCGCCGTGTCCTCTGGTTCACACTGTGCTCACAGGGACCACAGGCCCGGCCACTGTCCACAACCCACTGCACAGACTGAAAGGCTTCAGGGAGCCGGTGAAGGGCCGGCGCCGCCTGCACGCACGAAGGGCTCGCTTTTACACCCTCGGCTCCATCACAGCCCGCACGCTGCCGTCTCCCCGCCATACGTGCAGGAAAGGGGCCAGAGGACCAGACGTCTATGTGTGGGTGAGAGCGTAGCCACTGCTCACGGGAAGGAAACGGGGGCCGTACGGGGGTTGCCCACAACCAGGCTCACGCAGGAGCGAAGCAGAGAGGACGGGGCGCCCTGCTCTGGGGCTGGGGCGCCCACAGGTTTGAGGGGGACGCGGCCCTGACAACAGGAACCCTCAGCGGAAAAGCCTAGGGGGTGTGGGACCCCCACACTTGTCTTCAATCTGACAATGTTGGCAGCTCTGTCGGCACCAAGTTCCCGCCACGGGGACAGCACGTGTGACGATGCTGCACGTTTAATGACCACATGCACACCCATGCAGGGAGACACACTCACAGGAGAGGTTTGTGTGGTCGGAAATTATGGGAAAAACCCTAAATATCCAGCCATAGCGGTGAGTGGTGGTTACAGACACGCGAGCCCATTGAAACTGCGGAACCTGCTGAGCCATTAAAAATTCTCAGGTGAGGCCCGCGGCTCAGCGGCTGAGCGTCGACCTATGACCCAGGCGGTCAGGGTTCGACTCCTGGTCAGGGCACAGGCCCGGTTGTGGGCTCCATCCCCAGGGGCCACGTGCAGGAGGCGGCCCATCCGAGATTCTCTCCCATCGTGGATGTCTCTCTCCCTCCCTCTCCCCTCCTCTGGCGTCAAGACACACATATCGATGAGACAAAAGGGCCCCCAGAGGTGGTCCAGGAAAGACGCTCCCAGGAAAGCGTGCAGCCCTTACGCAGTCTCCCACAGAAACAACAGAAGGGGCGCCCTCCCTCACACGGGCGCTGGCAGAGCACCCAGCGGCGGTCGCCGTGCCGACTCGAGGCCCACAGGGACCCTAACGTGGGGCGGGGCAGGGACTGTGCCCGGCAGGCAGCTCACCTCTGACCCAGCACAGCGGTGGGACCAGCTCCTCGGGCTCCAGAGTCCACAGCGAGGCGCTCCCCACGCCCGGGGGGGGGGGGGGGGGGGGGGGGGGGGGGGGCTGACTTTCAGAGAGAGAAGTCCCCGCCCCGGTTCTGATTGGTCCCTCCTCATGCAAATGAAGGCTCCAAATGCTCATGGTTTGATTGGTCCAAAAGGCACTGTCCTGGTTGGTCAGTGACATTGTTGTGGGCTATAGCTGCCCAGCTCTGATTGGATGGGGAAAGCCTCAGTCCTATTGGTTGAAATGGGATTCGGGGGAACCTTCATAAGGGCTGGCTCCACCCACACACCCACCCACCCCGAGCGGAACACAGGGCGGGGGGGGGGGGGGGGGGGGGGCTGGCGGGCTCCCCTGAGGTGCAGTGTGTGAGGCCCATGAGAAATGGCTGCTGGGCTCTGGGGGGGGTTTCTTTGTTGGTTTTTTCTAATAAACTTCTATTGATGTCGGCGAGGAAGGGAGAGGGTGAGAGAGAGAATCAACCATGAGAGAGAATCGTGAATCCGCTGCCTCCGGCACGCCCCCCGCTGGGGATGGAGCCCGCAGCCCGGCCTGACTGGCGGGGAATCAGCCCCGACGCCCGGTTCACAGGCGGAAGCTCGCCCCTGAGCCGCGGGCCGGCTCCTTGGCTTTTAAATGTGACCCTTGGCCACCAGGTGCCCTTGGAGTGGGCGTCTCCCCGCTCGGGTCCGTCCAGACCGCCCGCACAGGGGCAGGTCACTGGCGGGGCGCGGGCGCGGGCCCGGGGGAGGGGAGGCGACACGCTGCCCGATGGTGTTGGGTGGCACTTCCATCTCCTCCCGAAACGCGTTTATGAAAAGCGTCAAAAAGGACGTCCGCAGGTGGATGATGACGCGTGACCCGGTAACATGCGAGGCCGGTAGGCAAGGGAGCGGCTTCTCCGGACGGGGTCCTCTCCCACCAGCCCTCCCCGGGCGATTCCGTCGCGGCCGTTTCAGAATGAGGTCCGTCCGTGAGCAGTTACCGGCGAGCCGTCTGCTTGTCTGGTTTATTCTCCAGTAAAGAGACGCTTTGAGCAGAATGGAGGTGTTTTTACTTTTTTTAAGCGGTTGTTTTTTTTGAGTTGTGGGAATAAAGGCAAAATGCAATTGAGTTGTAAGAATAAATACAAAAATGCATCTTTTGCCGAAACCGGTTTGGCTCAGTGGATGGAGCGTCGGCCTGCGGACTGAAGGGTCCTGGGTTCGATTCCGGTCAAGGGCATGTGCCTGGGTTGCGGGCGCATCCCCAGTGGGAGGTGTGCAGGAGGCAGCTGATCGATGTTTCTCTCCCATCCATGTTTCTAACTCTCTATCTCTCTCCCTTCCTCTCTGTAAAAAATCAATAAAATATATTTTTTTTAAAAAATGCATCTTTTTATCCTTTCACTGTGGAGGGTTTTTATCCTTTAAACTTAAGCCCCAATTGGAAACTCATTTCCAGGAGTAGCACAGGCCAGCTGTAAACAAACACCCGAACGTTAGCGGGCGGACAGGCGGGTGGACAGACGGGCGGACAGACGGGCGGACAGAGCCCTGGGCTCCGGTGTTGGCAGCCGCGTGGGTGGATCCGTGGCCGCCACGTGCCGCGAGGACCTGGGCCTGACTGGCCGTCCCGGGCCGGGGGAGGGCGGGAAGGGGGCTGAGGACAGAGGCCAGGGGAGTCCTGCGATTTCAAGCCTGGAAGGTTCCTTTCCCGGAGCGGGGCAGCCCCACGCGCCTGCTATTTTAGGCTTCACTCCCTGGGGGCCTGACGGCTGATTCATGTTCCCGAAAACTGTGAGCTCAGCACCGCAGGCGGTTCAGTGCAAATGCTCACGGAGGCTCGGCCCAGAGCCGCCCGGCTTGCTCCGGGGCTGGGCCGGCGAGGGGGGCACAGTCCACCCCCGCCCTCAACATGGGGCCAGGGCTCTGAAATGACACATTGAAGAAAAAGTTACTCATCAAGCCCTGGCCGGTGTGGCTCAGTGGATGGAGCGTCGGCCTGCAGACTGAAGGGTCCCGGGTTCGATTCCGGTCGAGGGCACGTACCTTGGTTGCGGGCTCCTCCCCGGCCCGGCCCTGGTCAGGCTCGTGCAGGAGGCAACCAAGCGATGTCTCTCTCACATCGATGTTTCTCTCTGCCTTTCTCTCTGCCACTCGGTCTCCAAAAGTCAATGGAAGGACATCCTCGCGTGAGGATCACCAACAAAAATTACTAATCAATCAGTCCGACCTGACACTTTCTATTTTTGTTTTTGAGAAAGTAGGTCATGGCCGCAGGGTTAGGACACGTCACATCAGGCTGGAGGTGCCAGTGCCGCAGCTGGAGGGAGAGCGCACAGGCCGCGGGCACTCGCCACCGCACGGACCTGCCCCCACCCCGCCCTCCGCCCACGGCCTCCGGGTGGATGGCACAGGAGGCGGGCGCTGCCGGGCGTGTCGGGGGTGGAGCCCCGGCCTGGGCCTGGCCTGGGGATGCCCCTCGCCTGGCGGGAGGAGAACTGAGTAACGCCCGGTGCCCGGCCCGCTGGGCGCAGGGGCTCCTCGGGCCTCGAGCAGGGGCAGCGTGTGGGTTAAATCAACACCTCGCCCCACGCTCTGAGCAGCCGGGCAGTCC